ATGTAGATATTCTCACTTGGTGCCACACTGTAAATAAACCCTCACCTTCTCTCTAAACTTCAGAGTCCTGCGAGTGAGTCCTCTGCCTAATAATCTGTGACAAAATGAAGTCATCAGAGTGCCCAAAGGAGCAGTAGATGAAAAAATAAAAGCCCTCAGTATGCAACTAGTGTGTTGCAACGTGGACTCTAAATTAAAAATGTAAAAATTTGCACGTATAACTTTCTCGAATGTTTTGCTACAGGCTGTTTGTTGCTTACATGCAAGGCAGCGCGCACAAAGGCCACAGAAGCCTCCAAAACATCACACACAGACACACACAGCGCCACGTGTTGGCTTCACTGATTACCGTGTGTTGCGTTCAATGGTGTGTAAAGTGCTGCCGCTGCGAGTATTAGCCTGTTTATCAGAGTGTGTATTAACGTGCTCCAGCGCAGGGGCTGCGGGGACAGAGTGTGTGTGTTTGAGTGCGTGAGCGTGCTAGCAGGGGATCACAGGTGTGTTTGCGAGCTCCGCAGAGAGCCTCCTTCCCCCTATAACCCCCACGCCCCCACCTCGAGCATCCTGGGTAATATCAGCCCACGGAGCACCTGCGTCCCTGTCCCAGAGCGCACGCACACACACACGCACACACCTCTAATGGCTCCGTATCAGCCTGCCATACGGCTCTAATAGCCAGCTGTGTGAGCAGAAAGCCGGTGGACCGTGCTGACACTCACTGATGCAGTTGTAATATTAGATCTGAGTTAACTGTGATCTCCAATTAGTTTTCATCACACTTGAAACAACCGATGAACACAGAAAACTACATGAAACACACAAAGGATATTTCACGCTTTAGCTTTGAATCCATTTAAAAAAAACAAAAACTTTTTAGTAGCACACAGGGCTCACGCTTTACTTTTCCAATAACTTTTTCTTGACTTTCCACCACTAGGTTGGCTGTTTTCCGAGGGATTTCCTCTCCAGTTTGAGTGAAAACATTTTCAGTGGGGAAAAAAAACAAGTAGGTTAGAGTCGTGGTGGAGTGTGTAGGTCAGGGCTTTCACATGCAACTTAATATAAATGTCTTCCCGACAACAGCCTGCTACCACAGCCATTTCACACAAACACGTTTGACCTTAGAGGGGCAGACAGAGATATGAGTTTGCTCAGATGATTCAAATTGTTATCAGGTGCTCTGGCATGTAAGGAAAACACAGAGCTGCACAGAGTTAGCGAAACTCTTAATGACTCCCAGAACAAAACAACTCACAGCAGATATTATCACAGTGTCTCTGACAGATAACATTTGATAACATTTTTAAATGGATTATATTCATTGGAAAGACTCAAGGAGATCATTACACTCAGATTCACTTATGTAATCAGATCAGTACATTTTGCCATTAGTATACTGCAGAACGCTATAACACCAGTATTTAAAAAAGGAAAACAGCTCTGGGAAATATTGAAAACTATAGGATGAGGCTTTCACTCGCACATACATTTTAAGTTTATTTAACTTTATTTCTGCAAACAACAGCTACATTGACTTCTCTGGTCAGTAAACCCAAGCAGCTAAACTGCAGGATGGTTCACCTGCATGGTGTCATTTAACATGTGCTTGTGTCAGCTAATGTTTCTCCCTTTAATATTTGTTTCTGCAGTCCTCGAGTTAAATCTGCACGACCTAAATTTAAAAAAAAGGAAAAAAGAAGCCCCCCCCCCAAATCCCTTTAATTGCTTTTGTACAATTTATATTTTGCAGTTTACAGCTGCTGTTTTTACAGTCACGTCTGTGGTCAGCGAGGCCTTTGCATTCGACAGCTGCTCTTTTTATAATGTCGGAGGTTGGAGTTGCAATTGACTACTTAGAATCAGAGATGGAATGACAGCTATTTTGATACGAGCTTTTACGTGACTTTACATGCACCTCTTCAGTCATTATCGAGATCAACTGATGGATTTCTCTGGAGACATGACGACAACAAACAGGAAGACTCTTGAAAACAGCCGCCTTCGTAAGTTGATGGGTGTGTTTGATAAACACAGACACACACACCGAGGTTTGTGCAGGCTGCTACTGTAAGTGTCATCGCAGTGCTACTGGATTTTTACGATTCAAAAGATGCAAGATTTCCCACACAGAAAATGCATTAAACTTATCAGATTTTCCTGCCCTGCCTACAACAGAATCAGCAGGAACAACAACAGGAGCTCTGTCCTGCAGATAAACTATAAAACGATTCATTTGTTTTCACAAAATCTCAACCTTTGTTGCACAAAATGACACAAAACAGTGTAAAGTGACAGTGGTTGCATCCCAGTTTAATGGCAGATTCACTTTTGCAGGTGGATCACCAACATTTACATCATAACGTACATAAATGTCCCAAAAAAAAGAAAAAACAGAAAAACAGTTATTTTCTTTTTCAGCCAAAGAAAAAGTTGAATGTTGAGAGTGTAACAGTCCAAAGGTCCTCTTGGCATGTTTTAGTCCCATTTACAAAGACATCTGTAGTCATTGCAAAGAAAAGAAAATGTAATTACAACAATAATACTTAGATTTAAGTAAATACAAAGCTGGTAATAAATAGTAAAAGGAGCAAAGTGTGAACTGGCTTTTTTTGAGTTTCACATACAGACAAGTCAATGCAGGGATCTCCAAAATAATTTTAAGGACAACACAAAAAAATTATATCTAGAAGAAAAAACAAAATCAGAAAATAAGAGGTTATAGTATTTTTTCCCTGCATGCTTGTATTTCTAAAAGGCGAATGCAGTTCAGTGCCGTTTATCCTTGGTCCCTATGTAAGTGCATGTAACCTGAACCTGAAGGCATGTAAGAGTTTGCTCCTCTGACCTGCTGTAAGCCTCTATCCCTGCAGTTATGTATTTATGGGGTTGAGAGGGGCAACATGCACTCAATCACTTTATACAAACCATATATGCACCTTTTATCAAAACAGTACAGCAAATACAAAATTTATTGCATTTTATCGACAGCAGACAAAGAAGATGCACATTCTTTGCTAAAACTGTTGGAAATGTACTTGGAGAGCTAGTAAGAGGGCTGTGTTTTAAATGCAGTCTAAGATGTAGAAGGCTTGAGTGTTTTCTTTTTTATCCTGTCAAAAAGTTGAAAACGACTCAAAGAATTAAATAAATCTGATTTTCAAAGACGTGTTGTCCTATGGAGCCTTTTCCCCAACCTCAAAACAAAAACCATGGCATAACTGAAATGCATTTTCTCTCAGTGGCACTGAGCGTTGTCCCAAACACTGTTTTATAAACAAAAACACTGGCTCTGAAGGTAGGTGGACTCACTTTTCAGTCAAACCATCCATAAATACTTTTCCCAGGTTTCTCAGATATTAGAGAGCTCTGATCATCAGCTCTATTAAAGGTGATGACAAAATTGTGTTTATTCACAGGTTGTCTGTGTGTGGTCGCTGCTGTTATCTCTGTTGCTCTCCAGACTGGGGGCTGTCCGCGCTGCTGTAAGGGGACAGAGAGGAAGCTACTGGCCCTGAAGCTTTTGCATCATCCCCTTCCTCCTTCTCAACCTCCATTTCCACCTCACCTTCTCCTCCCACATCCCCTCCTTCTGTTCTGAACACCTCCACTGATCCTCTCCCGTCCTCACTTGACTCCTCAGACGGGGAGAGAGCCTCTTCCCCTCCTCTGCCCTCGATTGTGCAGACGCCTCCCTCACTGGGACTGGAGCTCTCCCTGTCATCCTCCCCAGCGGTAGGCTCTCTGGCCTGGCTGTGGTGCTTAACGTTGTAGCGCTGGTTCTGGAAGAACTTGATGATTGTGTGTTTGGGCAGGTCTAGCTGGGCTGACAGGGTGTGGATCGCTTCCTGGTCCGGGTACAGTCCCACATCGCCAATGAAGCTCTGAAGGATTCCCAGGGCCTCCAGAGAAATCCTTGTCCGTGACCGGGCCTTCTTTGTTCCTCCACCTCCGAGGCCGGGGCTCACCCCGCGCTGAGGCCCATCTTCTGAGCTTTGCAGCGCTGGCGGGGGGATGGGCTGGGGTTCATCATGAATTGGGGATGGAGCCATTAGCGGTGGCAGGGGCTGCCTGTGGAGGGTCTGTTTAGAAAATAAAAAGGTTGAGTCACAGCATTTAGAAGATTTGTGTCGCCTATTTTGCAATAGGCGAGAGTAAAATAGAAAAAAAAACAAGACAATGGCTCCGTCTCACCTTATTTAACAGAAATGTTTGCCTTTTCTTGATTTTCCATATCAGTTCATTTAAAACTGTACATTTAAAAAGCCGATTCAAGGGCAGCTCACCTTGGTCTGAGGCAGCTTAACACAAAGTTGACACTGTATGAAGTTAATAAGTGGCCCTTGAGTCATGATTTCTTTAATTTACTGTTAAATGTTATCACTTTTTAAAACTTCCTCGGTGTCCTGTACATATGAACAAATAAGACTCAAATCCTAACAAATGATATATGTTATATGGAGTAACTGTTCTCAAAATAAAAGGCAACATCACGTACATGCTGTAAATACATTTAATGAAAATGTATTTAGATTTTGCCAGTAATTGATATGTAGCTGTCAAAGAAGAGTAAAAAAAGTATGTAATATACATTTGTTTGGCTTTTCTAAAGTTTTTGTCTTCTTGCTATGCACAGTGAAATCAAGCTAAAAACAGAACAAGATAAATTAACATATGTATGTGTGTTTTCATACTGAACAAGTGACACAGACTTACGTATGTACATAGGTCAGGTTTTTGCTAGTAGTTTTGCTGTAGATTTTAATAACTTTCAGTGTGTGACAAAAGGAGACGACGATTACTTTATCGCTGTTTTTTTTTAAGACAGCTGAATCACATGTGCATTTCCTGCATTAGAAACTCAGTAGGATGTGACTGAAAGCAGTTAAAAAGGACATTTGATTATATTTTTGCTTTGTGTCACTGAAGATGTTAGATGTGAAAGCACTTAAAACACTTTCTTCATTCCCTTTAGACATGTTTCTTATATGTAAAGCTACAAATATACCGCCTTTTGATGATTTGTGTGGGGGGCATATTTGCTTTGCCATCCATGCTGAAAAAGGTTGCACGTATTTGTCCATAAATAACTAAATCTCTTAAACTCTCGAGCTTTGAAACATCAAAATCTATTACACACTATGGTTTGCTCTGTCAGTCTATTTGAAGATTATTCATTCTGTGTTCTCACACTCCTCATCGCCACGGGAGTAAGTGAACCGTTCGGCTCGTATTTCAGCTCGTGCCCCTCTGCAGACTCAAAGAAAATGTACTACAAGCGGAAGTGCTATCAACCGGCTTCCATCACCGCCAACATGCACGCTAAACTCCCAAATTCATCACACAAACAAGCACGCTACTAGAGCTTATTAACAGGGTGGGGAGGCCTGCACACCCAAACACAGGAATCCAACACCATAAATCTGTGGTCCATCAAAATTAAAGGACCTAAATAAAGATAATGGCAATTCCTTTTTCTCTGCTTCAATAATTACAGGCTATGTTCTGAATAATATTGAGGTTAGGGCTAGACTGGAGAGCATTTTGGTTTTTGGGAGAGGGTGGGATGGAGGAGTGTTTAGCAGGAAATGTGTGGGCTGGTCATTTACCACTTCTATTTTCAATGACTTATGGGGCACAAACATGACAAAGAGGAGGGCTGCTAAGAGGAGCAGGTGGTGGGATCAGACAGACGGAGGAGACAGAGGAAACTTTTCGACACAGCACAGCGAACGCTCATGCTGGTTTTCCCATTTTCTCACTCGTAAAAACACTTTGATTTGTGTCTTTTCTTACACATGGCTGCGCTGTGGTTGCGAGTGGCTGACTATTTTTAAATATCAGATTTTCACGCGTTTCTTTTGCTCCTCGGATTTTTAACCACATTTACCACTTCAGTGAAACACAAAACAAACTTTCCGATTCATCCTAGCGGTGCCAAACTCCGACCACTGACTGCATGTTTGTTACCTGCGGCTCTGAGATGTGCAGGACGGTGTGCAGCCTGTCGCTGTGCTGCTGTCTCGACTCTTCTTCATACACCTGATCTCGGTCGACTTGTGACAACGCCAGGAACCTCCTGATGGTGCACAGGTTCTCCCACAATGTGCGGTTCTCAGGGCTTGGGCTCTCTTTCCATCTTAGCAGCTCACATAGCCAACCCTGAAGGAAGAAGAGAGGTTAGCTGTGTCTTTACTATCAAACAAATTAATGCAGCGCCCACTTGTTTGCAGGTGTAACTCAAAAGGAACGCATTAAAACTACTCTAGCCTCGTGTACTGAGCGTTTGGAGGTCTGGAGGGTTTACCAAAGGAATACTGGTGGTGGTGGACACCTGATTAAAGGGTGTTTACAGCAATTACAATGAAAGAAAAATAATTACTAACATGCTTCAGTAATTTGCAAAATCAATGGTGAAATAAATAAAGAATCTTTTAAATGTAACCACCTACACAAAAATGCTAAAAAGTAACTGAACTACTTGAATTACAATGCAAATAAAACCCCAAACAAACAAAGTTAAAACTAGTTTACAACTTTCCAAAACTGAAGGCAGGTATGTTTAATGATTTCCCTGTGAAGAAAATGCTCTGTTATGGCATGCAGGTGACTAACATGACATTTTAGGGCTACACACCAGCTGACTGTAACATTCGTTCTCATTTAGGAAGCAAAATGATTTCAGTCACAAAGTGTCTGTACTTATATCCACCATACCTGAACCAAAGCATAACGTATACATATCTATAAACCACTGTAGACACATATACACTGAATATATACTGTCAAGTCCTTATGTATATACAGTAAGCATCTATCCATCCCTTCTTTATCCCATAATTTATCCCAGCATGTTTGCGCTCTTTCATCATTGTACATATAAATATAAACGTACTATACAAGCTGCTTTTTCCCCTATTGTTTGTTCTGTCACATACACTGAGACCCTGCATGTGCACATACTTTTTCACTTTTTCACATTTATTTATATTATTTTATATATGTACGAACACGAGTGAATCAAAGTTTGTCCCAAAGAGTTGAAGGAAAAACCAGAAGGAAAGTCTGATATGAGTGGGGCCTGCAAATGAGTGTGCGCATGTGTGTGTGTGAAGATTGCATTATCTCTGCTAGGCTGACCCAGGATCTGCCACCAGCTGTTGTTTATACACAGCCTTCAGCCTGGAAATTAATGGTAATAATGTGATCATCCCTCCATCATCTTGTCTGTCTTCTCCTCCGTCTTTCATCCTTCTGTTCGTCCCGTCTTCTCATCCTTTAGCGTTTCAGATTTAGTTTTTAAGCATCTCTCGGTGAGTCTCACAAACCCAAACACACCAACTCGGTATTCATAATAAATGTAGTCTGTTGTCAGAAGATATTTAAACTGGTTTTAAAACCATAGCGTCCTCCCTCTCCCTCCCTCCTTCCCCGTCTCCCCCTTCAGAAGCAGACTATGCTTTGATCTCGCCCTCGATCGCCCGCATTGTTTATCTGAGGATGGAGTCATGATGGTATGCCACAAGTGGGTAATCAGATACCGCACACGCCCTCGCACAAACACACAGTCACACACGTCTACACTACACCCTCATCAGCTCCTTCAAACATTATCAACTCAGAAATTTTTACTCATGTTGAGACTTTTTTATCTCAAGTTTGCACGTGTAACCCTCTATGTGCATGCACGTTTAGGCAGCCCACCTACAGCCCTCACAGCAGCGGGCTGTGATTACAGGTTCAGATTTGAGTATAATTCGGTTGTGAAAATCAAACAAAACAACAAAAACAAGGACTGACCTGACTTTTATTAGCAGCCACCTTAGCGAACAGAGCCTGGGAGACCTTCGCCCTCTTCATCTCCTGCTGGATCTCCTCATAGATCCCTGATGTGATGTTTACCAGCGAGTCCAGCTTTATCTGCAGCTCCGGGCCGGGCATGCTGCATTTTGTCTACACAAGACCAGAAACACAATCTGATGTCAATGAAAAATAAAGATATGTTGGAGTGAGTGACATAAGCTAGACTATAAGAGTGTACGATTTTTCAAGTTTTAGTTGAAAAGAAATCTGCTAGCGCTTTATTTCATGTGCAGAGCTCGTATTTAAATGTGTGCATGTACCTGTGCGTGTCTGTGTGTGTTGGCACTGGAGATGTGGTTGGTGGAGTGGTTGTGGTTAGTGCTGGTACTCCTCTCCCTCTCCTCCTGGTAGATCCGGTCTCGCTCGCTCTCGGGCAGGTTAAGGAAGTTTTGCATGGCTTTCAGGTTGACCAGCAGAGACTGAGAGGCAGAGCGAGGATCCTCCTCCTTACGGAGGATTTCTGACAGCAAGCCCTGCAGACGCACACATTTAAATAGTCATTCTTAGATTCTATGGAATGAAGTCTTTTATAATCATCTCCACATTTGCCTTAATTCCACGTTTACCTGTGTGCGGTTAAAGGCCACACGGGCAAACACGGCCTGGGAAACGCTGGCCCTCTTCAGCTCATTCCTGACCTGCTGGTAAATGTCGGAGGAGACTTCGGCTCCGGAGTTGAGGCTGGGCTCAGAAACAGCCCCGGAGATCTTGCAGCTCCGTGAGATAGGAGGATGGTTGAGGAACTGCTGGTTGACTCCCTGTGGGTGCTGGTGGGCAAGCAGGCGGCTAACAGCCAGCTGCTGGTTGATGAGGTGGGCCATCGCGAGCTGTTGACGTACAAGTTGAGGGGGGAGTTGGGGAGGCAGGAGCCCGCCGTGGCCCAGGAGAGGTGGAGCCTGTGGACGAAGTGGAGGACTGGGGTGATTCTGTCCACTAGGGTGAGGCAGGCCGTGAGGCTGGGTTGAGGTCTGAGTGTCCCCGAGGCCACTCTTGAGGGAAAGAACTCCGGACCCACCCAGGGTGCCCAAATGGGTGGGAGAGGGCAAGAGAGGGGGAGGACGATGGCTGAGGATGCTTAGGTCCAAATCCCGCTCCACTA